GGCACACTTGGAGCCCCACATATTTCTATGGCGTTTTGGCGATTCATTTAAGTACACTCTATTAAATATAAAACTCTTTATGCTTGATTACGTTTGTTCGCTCGTCCATTCAGTTTCTATTTCATTAAAACTATGCTCTAGTACGTTTATTTTATTAAAACTACGCTCTAATGCTTCTATTTTATTAGAACTATGCTCTAGTGCTTCTATTTTGTTAAAACTCCCCTTTAGTACGTTCGGAATTAAAATGTGACGCGAGTTTCATCGAGCTGGCACTATTACCTCCGTTATCGGGGTTCTCAAATAAATTACTGTTAGCGCCCAACCATTCATCTATAGTTGACCTGTACTTCATAATCCATATCATGTTTGTTGTCGCATCTACCGTGGCATGTATCAGCTGATGCATCAGTTGTCTTTCCATGAAAAATGCATTCAGCTGAAATTAAACAAACAATTCTATACATTTCGATTTCAATTTCAAAATTCTTCATTAATGACAAAGCGACGGGTGTTTAGGTTCTGCTTCTATCATCGCAAGAATCACTTGTACAGTATAATCGAAGGATATAGTGAGGTCATAAAACTTGTTAGGTGACTGAAATCGGCATCCCTTTAAAGGGGTAGACATCGAAGCGGCATGACGAGGCAGAATGTCAATCTTAACCACAAAATTGACCAAAATAATAAACACTATATTATTAATTTTAAAGATGAAACGTTGTACAAATTGCTGTATCAATTATTGCATCAATTAGATTCTAAACTGTAATTACTTGGCCATGACCTCGCAATATCTGTGCCTCCAACTGTACCATGCAGTTCTACAGGGTGATCTGCCTAGGTCATGGACCTAAAGGACGTAACATCGTCGCGGAAAGCCGTGATGAAATACGTAAGGGGGTTGCAAATCATGAACGCATGCGCTTCCCTTCCCATGCAGCAAATTGCTGATCATATTGTGGTGCACCCATGGATCTAAAGAACGTAGCGTGAGGTAGGGTTTTAGATGAGGGTGGGCGTGATTCAAGAGGCTGAGGGGGGAATATGGAGGAGAACAAATTGTTAGTCAGACTTTAGCGTCATCTATAACATTCTGCAGGCTATTTTGAATCTGTTGCACAGCTTCACGCATACCCATTGTTCTATCTATAATACGTATCTTCAACTGTAGTATGCACTGAAAATAGTTAAAACTTATAGGGTGCACCACAATATGAGCAGCAATTTGCTGCATGCGGAGGGCAACGCATGTGTTCATGGTCTGCAATCCCTTACGTATTTCGTCATGCCTTACCGTGACAGTGCTCCGTCCTTTAGGTCCATAGCCTAAATGTAGCCAAATAAATATCTCCTTTATTTGGGACGACAGAAACACTATTTTTCATGCATTGTAAATAGTATCAAAATATGAACGCTTTTCAAAATTTTGCTTCTCTGAATTTTGGACGTCACTAATATGATTATCGGTAATTGTTTCCAAGGTTAAAACAGTAGGCTTACGTCATGGCGAAAAGTCAGTGATATCGGTGAAAATGATGTTTATATTTAATTTGAAAATTCAAATTTTGTGAATCAAAGATCAATTTAATGTCCTATCACTAATACGTTTGAACGTGTTTCAATGTCAACTATAATAGAAGAAAAAAGTATAGAAGAAACGAAAATCAGTGACGTTAAAAACTTTGAACAAAGTAATGTTTAGAAAAGAAAATCCTGTAACATTTATGTTTTGTTAGCATTTATATAGCATAAGAAACGTTTTTCCTATCATTGCAAATGAATGAAATATTGCGATGTCCACACTTATATATATATAGGCAGACTACCATAACGCATGAAACAAGAGGATATGTAATGAAATCTGTTTTTAGAAAGATTGGCTATGTAATCGAACTTACTTCAAAATGCTGCTCTTGAGTCGTAACTGCACCACCAATTATTGAAGCGACGTCTTCTATGACGGATTCGAAATTCGCTCTGAAATCACGAAGTGAAAAAATTACGACAGTTATATTAGATACAGATTCACACTCTCATGTCGTGACCATCGTTTTTTATTTTTCTTTTAAGGTTGTATGAATACTTAAGTAAAGATGGCGACATAGCATTTAGATTTTAACAATTATTAAATATTACATCAATAGGACTCTGCGAAATTTTAGAAATTTTACGAGGCTATTATAAAAGTTGTCACATCCTGAGTTCTTACGTTGAATGGAAAAATTTTGATTTCATTCATGAAAAAATACAGGTACAACAATGAGAGAATATTGTGATTTTGTACAATTGTTAATACATGTTTTGAGAATAATTTAAACTTGAAATTCGAGGAAATTATTTAAGATGTATCATAAAAAATAAGCAAGAGTAGAAATTGTAGGATTTATAGACAACGTAAACAATTCCAAGTCAAGTACAATTGTATCAAAAAGTGTCAAAACCATATGTTATACGTAAAAAGTTGATTGAATTAAAAAAAAATACGTCAACAATTTTGTGAACCTTTCTAAAAGTTTATCGGTTCACATATTGGACATAGCTTCTTATTACGTTTCTTAAACTTTTGAAGATCTTACGATTCACACAAGCTTAAGTAAACGTAACAATGACCACGGTGAAAAGAAAGAAAGGTACGAAGTTGGTTACATTTGCCTGATGCGTTTGTTTTCTTTGAACAGGAACTTCGAAACAAGTTCGGCACCAGCCGGATATTTGGACACCACGTTTTTCACGCCGGTCTTGAAATCAATCGGGTAGCTTGGCTCGAGAGTTGAGTTTAAGTATGTCATCAGAATCTCAGAGGAATTGGAACAGGCTAGGGCCATCAGTAGATCCTTTTTATCGTCCTCATCGAGCTTAGATGTAATTATGTACTCCAGAGTATCAGTCCACTCGCTCTCGCTCGCCTTCCTGACCCCAGCGCAAAGAATTTCCGTCTTCAGATTAACGTCCAATCTGTGCACAAGATTATAAGACGTTGAGAAGTAGATTATAAGAAGTTAAGAATTTGTTGATAAAAGGCATTTATCACAAGATATGAATACTACATTAATTGCCTGCCACATCATTGTCTCTAGACTGCGGATTTTATACATCTATGAGAAAATTGAATATAAAACACAAACTAAATGCATAGAAATATACGAAATACTAAATGCAAAATGCATTCCGCAAAAGATTAAAAGAGTTCTATTTGAAACACATTTCTAGAAATAGTTTATTTTGCTCAAAAAGCCACAGTTTACATATTACACTTGCACGCCAAAATAGGAAATTCAAGAACTATATAGTTTTGTAATTATGTCAATGTGTTCTTATTGGGTTTAGTGGAATAGAACTGCATTGCTATATTTAATTGAAAAAAAACTACAGAAAATAGTGACAGAATTTTGAAACATTATGCAGTGTAATTAATTATATTAGAAATATATTATAATATATTTCATCGAGAATAATGAACACTCAGAAGATAATAAAAAAATATTGTTATAAATTTACAATTGAAACATGGAAAAGCTCTGGAACAATTGACAATGAGACACAATAACAGCACAAATTCTCTTCACATATTGGATTACCTTTGAATATTTTTCAAATAAAGAAATCGTAGTTAAACGACTTTAACGATTATTAAAAATCCTTTTAATTCTGTTTATCCTATTTCTATTATAACATACCTTCTAACGTTGTAAAATCAAAGAATGCACTTTATTTAAGACACGCTTAATTTTTTGCTAAGTTATCATTATGCTTATTCAGAGTTTGAATTTATTTTTGAAACGGTATAGTAAATGTCTCAATTTCTGTTCACGTCATAATTTTCACTCATTGGCTTATCATTACGTGTAAAATGATGGGAAAAAGCCAGTAAGTAGAAACTGTCACGTGAACAGAAATTGGGTTTCGACAGAGATTAAAGACTATACTTTATTTAGGCTCAGTTTTTCCGGAGGTTGTATAGCTAGAACAACTTTGATCTTAATGCATAATTGTTCGATGATGTAACAAATTTCAAACGTAGCTTATGAAATTGCAGATTCAATACATTTATAAAGAAATTAAATGTATAAAAAGGAAAAACACTAATGCATAAAAATTAAATAATATTAAATACAAAATGTATATTAAAGTAAGTTCTAATGAAAGCAGTTGCTGTTTAAAATGCATTTTCAAACTGATACTATAGTTTATTCCGCCGTCGCGGTTAAACCTGCCCTAATCATCCTGTACATAAAGGGCGTATGGAGAACCAGAACTCATGGTACATCTTTTAATAGGAGGTTCCTGAAGTTATTTTAAACAACATTCTATTATTACCACGCCTCGGACAATATTTTCGCAAAGGAAAATGTTGTTTAAAATCATTTCAGGAATCTCCCATTAAAAAATGTACCATGAGTTCTGGGACAGACTCTGTAGAAGAAAGAGCATACGAATTGTTATAAATTAAGAGAACAGAATGTCAACTTACTTCATCTCAGGATTTTTGAGCCATTGTTGATATGTTTTCTCAGCATAGGATGTGCACTTCTCGACGCCAGCTTCGCAGGCCCATCTCATTGCTTCTACTCTGAGCATTTTTACGAGATCGGTATCATTCGCCTTCGGTTCATAACCCA